CCCACATCAGCAGCACCACCGTCTTTCGACTGAACGCGACTGTTGTGGTGCCACTGACAGCCGGACACAGAAAAACACAGAAAAATGACACCGATGACGGCGGAACAAGTCGAGAGAGGAGAGAGAGAGGTTATGAAGTACGCAACAGAGGGAATCCACTACGACAACGACGAGGAGCTGTTTTTGTTACGACAAAGAGCGCCAGCGTACTTCGACACAAGGGTTGACGTTCAGCGGTCAGTGGCAGCGAATGGAGACAGGTCAATGAGAGCACAACAGTTGCTGTTGCGCTTATATCAAAATGCATACGTGCATGACGACCACACCATGACATCTTGCTCTGCGAACAATCTTCACCAAGTCGTGGATTGGATGTGCAACGACCATGACATCGACATGACGAAAAGAGATGGAGGCGGTTCGTACGACACATCAGCGTTCAAGAAGTTTGTGAGATCTCAGGCGAGAAAAAGTGAAATGTTGAAGACAGGGGGTTGTGAGGAATTGAAGCCGAATGCAGCGGAGATATTGGCACTGAGCAGGATGAACGAGGTCCCTCAAAGAGATCCTATTGACTACCATGAACTGGCAACAATGGTGGTGGATGGTGTTGAGTATGTGCCACTGGACCAGATTTATGACTTTATGAAGAGTGGAGGCGAGGACAAAAATCTCATTCACGAGGCATTGCATGAGGTGACGGAGGAGGCAATAGCAGCAGCGGAGGTTGTCGATATTGACTGAGTAAAGGATCGCACACTCGACCGTGTATCGGGGACTTCTGTGTCACGGTGGAACATATTCGAAGCTGTAGAGGAGCTGACCGCGACATCGACGGACGTGGACAGGAGGAGGAAGAGAAGGTGCGGATGGCAAATGCTTGTTGCAGAACACGACACCGCAAGGACACACACAACAGACACGACAGTGCAAGACAGAAGTGGCACAGTATCTCTGGCGGATGTTAGGACCGTGTTGAAGAATCCTGCTGCAAATGCAGCGACTGTCCATGGCGGATTCAGAGAGTGGAGATTGGCACCCAGACATCCTTCACGTGACTTCAATGAAGTAGTCGAACAAGCATCGCAGCATGGAGATGATGTGGTGGTTCCTTGTGACGAGAAGGGCGATGCACAGACAGGACCGCAACAAGAGAACCCGACATCATCCGAGTCGGGAGTGAGTGGCAGTGATACCAGGAGCGACGAGGTGGGCGAGAAATACGATCCTTATTGGGACGTAAAGCGAGGTGGTGGTCAGCGGTCGAAAGGGTGGTATCATGCAATTTTGAGGTTGGCGCGTGTTTTTTCGAAACCGCACCCGTTGATACGTGTTGTGGACAAGGTGGCAACACCGGACGGGCGTCTACACTTCGCAGCAATTAAGACAATTATGTCGTGCATGAAAAATGACAAACGTTGGGCTAAGACAATAAAGCCATGGTTTGTTCTCATACACAAGGAGGCCATTCTGACAACATCGCTGTCATGGGGTGTGAACCTTAGTTGCGTCATACATGGAGCAGTTGTCACTGCATGCGGCGGGACCGTGCACCCCAGAATGTCAACAGCGGCGGCAATTATACATGCACAACCAACACTCTGTCTCATTAGCACGAAAGACAACAATATCGATGCTGCTATGGATATAGGCCAAACATCAGAGGAACAATCGAAACGGAGAAAATTATAGGGCTCTCTCTCTCTCTCTCTCTCTCTCTCTCTCTCTCTCTCTCTCTCTCTCTCTCTCTCTCTCT